TCTTGAGGCGAGACCTTGGGCTCTGGAGGCTGGAACTTTAGGGCAGCTGGTGGAACATTCCAGAATATAAGCCTATGGTGGATACTTTTTGAGCTCAGAGTAGGGCCCACAAGAGGGGGCAAGCTTCACTTCTGGTAGCCCTCTGAATGACACCGCTTTGCTAAGGATCCCTCTTCCCTGTGGACAACGATTCAAGGTGGCCGAGGGTCAAGTCAGATAATCAGGGCTGGACATTCTCTGCTCCTGCTGAAGGTAGTGCGGAGGAGGCAGGAAGACCAGCCCCTCTGAGGAGCTGGGGCTGGGCCTGGGAAAGGCCCGACACCCCAGGACGTCACCAGGCTCCCCTGCTGTGGCTCTCACATGCTGCTAGACAACCAGATGCCACTTGGGGGCAAAGGGCGTGTGTACCCCAGCCTAGCCCATGGCTTACCCATTAAACTGAGGGCTGGGGGTGCTGAGAGGAGCCAGGGGTCTGCTGCTAAGAGACATACTTCTAGGCCTGGATCTAGATCCAAGGACCCTGGGTCAACACAGTCTTTGCCTCTAGTGTCTCATCCATGAAGATGGTCTAATGCCAAATGCCCAAAGGCTCATTACTAGGGAGTTCTAGGGAGGCAGAGGCAGACAGATCCCAAACCTGGCGAATGAGGCCTCAGACCACTCAACTCAAAAGGCTGTCCCAGGTGTGGCAGCCCGTTTGGAAGTGGGGGGTTTCACAAATGCCCCTCTTGGGTGACAAGGCCTGAGAGGTCCCCACTGAATAGAACTGGGGGCAGCCACATGGCCAAGGCACCACAGCGAGGCAGCAGGCCCACTGTCCCGCCCTAGCAGGCCCTGGCAATAAGCTATAGACCGGTCACCTCAGGGGTGTTTGCATGTCCTGGTGTTTCCAACAGCAGACTCCACGGACTCTGCCTGTGGTGCAGAGACCGGGCAGGAAAGAGTGGCACCAGGTAGCTCGTGACTCACCAGTTCTGCCTCTGCAGGCTTAGCTCCTCCCCCTGAGCAGCTGTTTCTTAGAGCCGGGGCACACCAGCTGCAGGCTTTGCTCACCTGCCTGCCTGCCTCCCGCAAGGGAAGGGACCTTAACTGTTCTTCTCGGTATCCCTGGTACCGAGTTCTTGCCAATTGTACTTTCCCCTTTGAGAGCTGGGCTGGGGTACAACTACTAGTATAAGAGGCCAGGCCCCTGGCAGGAGGAACATACTGACTGCCCTGTAACTGGGGAGGTTGAAAGAGGGACAGAATGCTGTAGCTCAACAACCAAGGGGAGCCTCCTGGTAGAGGAGGCACCTGAGCTGTGTCTGAGGGAATGTGAGGGCTATCCATGTGCGAGGACAGTGGCCCAAGAAAAGGTGAAGGAAGAGACTTTGTCTAACATGTTGTACACTGGGAGCAGACCTCATTTGGCTGGAGTGTGGGGCTTCAGGAAGGGAGAAGAGGGAGAGGACACTGGGGGTGCCACCACCTGTCCTCGAGGGGCTCTAAGTTCAGTGGAGAGGTAGGGCTGACAGCCCAGAGTGCACAATCAAAGGAGCAGGGACCTGCCAAGGGCTTTATGAGAGTGGGCAACCTTTCGAGAAGAGCCTCAAAACCAAATTATTCTAGACTAGAGGCCCGGTGCACAACATTCCCTCAGCCCAGCCTGCGCCCTCTCGCCGTCCGGGACCCTTTGGGGGATGTCTGCGGGAAGCAGGCCTAAGCCAGCAGGTGGACACCCCCCACCCCCAGGGGTCTTTAGCACTGCTGTGGAGGCAGGAGAGGCTCCCGCCACCACCGATGGGCTCGCCAGCCGTGAGCCCAGCTTCTGGCTGAGTGGCGCTCCCCCTGTGATAGCGCACTGACCACCAGGGGGCAGCTCCTGCATTGAGCATCTGCCACCTGGTGGTCAGTGTGGGTCATAGCGACCGGTCATTCTGCCATTCGCTCGATTTGCATATTAGGGTTTTTTTTTTATATAGGATTGTTTTTAAATACAAAGTAAATGGACGCTTCTCCCCCTGCCTCCCCCACACCCCCCCCACACACAAACCAAAGTTGTGGTGGGCTGCAGCACCTACCATCTGAACCTGGAATGGACTGGGAACATTTCCTTTCCCAGGGCCGTCCCCCAGTCTGATATGCTTGGGAAGAGGGCAAGGGTTTGGAAGAAGTCACAACAAGGCCATTGCAGGGCTGGGGGAATAGGCTAGGAGTGGGGCAGGCTCCCCATTCTGAGCCAAAGTGACTGATGCTGACATATACAAGCAAATTTTCTGGGCAACTCGTCCACTGACACCATGGCCTTGGGCTGCTTCTGTACTAAGCAGACCCCAGGACAGGGGTGCAGGGCTCTACTGGGGGCCACAGCTCCTACTCAGGGCTGAAGGAGGCCGGGAGAGGCTCAAGTCCCTATTTCCACAAGGTCCAGTTAGGGCTCCCCTCAGGGACAGAATGATGGTACCCAAAGGCATCGTCCCTCCTGGCCCCCGCCCCCAGCTCTGCAGTCAGTGCCAGGAACCTCCTTCTCTGGGCTCCTGCACCTCCTGCACCCTCGTCTGCTCGAACCCATCTCGGAAATAACTATAACTGCTTCCCATCACCCTCTGGTAGGCTCCTCTCTCACAGGCAGAACACAAGCTGGGGAGACAACCACCTGGCCACCAATCCGAGCTCTGCTGCACACCGGCTGTGTGACCGGGCATGCTTCAGTTTCTTCATCCATAGAGTGGGCACAACAACGACCTCCCATCTTAGAGATGAGCTGAAGGTGATGGTACCTTTGGGAGGTGATTAGGGTCAGATGAGGTCCTGAGGGTGAGGGCCTAATGATGGGATTAGTGGCTTTACAAGAAGATGAAGATAGAGGGATCGCTCTAGGTGCACACATGGTGGAAAGGCCATGTCTTGTGAGGACACAGGGAGAAGGTGGCCACCTGCAGCCCAAGGAGACAGATACCAACCCTGCTGGTACCTTGATCTTGAACTTCCCAGCCTCCAGAACTGTGAGAAATAAATGACTGTTGTTTAAGCCACCCAGTCTATAGTATTTTGCTTTGGCAGCCCGAACTGAATAACACACCCTCTTGCTCATAAATGGAGTCAGGACCAATGACCAGCCATCCCCATCCCCTACTCTGTGCATGGGGAAACCCACTGGGTGCCCCCAAAACCGAGGAAAATCAACATCATGCACACTCTGGAGGCCACGTGCATGGTCTCCCTCAAGCACACGCAGGGCCAGGTGAACCTCAGCATGCCAAGCAGCAGGCACAGTCACTGCCACAGGACAGGGAGGACAGGCAGAGAGGAGGCAGGCAAGTGGGAGGCCACGTGCAGTCAGTGAGGGGCGGGGAGCTGGCACAGCCCACGCCTTGGTGCCCGGTTCCTTACCTCCCCTGCAGGACCTCTGACCACCAAGAAGCTGGAGGCGTGCTGGAAAGAGTAGAGAGCAGGAGACAGGGAGCAGTAGGCACCGAGCCAGTTGTACAGGAAAAAAGTGCTGGAAAGGACCCCCAAGGAAAGGTGTTAGGTTCGGGAAGTCTGTGGCAGAAGTGGTTTCCAAGAGGCCCAAAGGACCCAAATGCCAAATGAAGATCTCCCCCCAAGACTGGCCTGTGCCAGGGGCCCAGAGAAGGGAACGAGAGAGCAAAGGGAGAAGAGCCCACAGACTGCACCACCCCAGAGGGGCACCTGCCCTGCGCAGGCTGGTGCTGGGTCTGTCCAGGGTGACATTCTTGGCAGATTTCCTGGGATGGAAGGAACAGTCTCTCAATGGGGAAAGGGGTCCGGGCCCCAGCAGTGGACAACAGCCATCAGGAAGCCCCATCAGCCAGGGACCAGGAGGCTATGCCCTGCACAGACATCACAGCCAATTCCCCAGGATCCTAGGGAGACAGAGGAATGGGGGTGGGGGCTCATATTCCAAGGCCGACGTCAGAGAGTGGAGGTTCCTGTCCTGGCTCCACCTCAAATCTCTGGGTAACTTTGTACAAGGCACAGAGCTTCTCTGGGCCTCAGTTTCCCCATATGTAAGATGGAGAGAACGTCCCTCTCCATGTTGGAAAGAGGGTAACATATAGTCTGCCAATGCCGGACACCAAATCCCCACAGGGCCACACACGTTTCTAGACTTTTCTCTGGGGATTGGTTTATGCTGAAATAGGGAGATGACCAAACATTCAAGATTCCTGGACAGAGGGCCACGCCTCAGGCTCTGTGATCCCAGCGCTTCTGGATCCTGGCAAGGAGGAGCCTGAAGCACAAAGTTTGGGGGGGCTCCTACTAACATGAAACACTTTCGGGGTCCAGTTCAGTGGCACTATTACCCCAGGTGGGCCATTCACAACCCCCTATATTTAAAAATTCCTACATCACTGACCCTGTGTACCGGGGCCTCCACCAGAGCACCCCTCACCCTAGGAACTGGTTCTGACCTGCCCGTCACTGGGCCCTGCCACCACCTCCCCTCCCCGGGGCACTCACGCCATGTGCCCAACAAATATCTGAGCAGTGACAGACTGCTCTGTACCATCAAGCACCCGATTTGTAGTCATTGTCAGCCACCGGCACCAGCCTGACAACAGGATGGCACATTTTTAAGCCTTTCTCAACCTGGTTACACAACTAATTCCTCTTGGTCATGGTAACCCTGTGAGGGCAGGTATTACAGCCCTGTCTTACAAATCAGTCAGCTGCAGCCAAGAAAGGTGACGAGGTGATTTGCGCAAGGGCACACAGTGGGCAGCTAGCTGTCGACAGAGCCTGGGTGAGAACCTGAGTCTTCTGACATCCAGCCTGGTGCCTGCCGTCAGCCAGCATGCCCAGTTACTACTGGTGTCCACCTAGCTGGTCGGGTCCTGGGCACTACCCAGAGGTGATGTATTTTGGACATCGGCCCAGCAGGCTCACCCTCAACCCAGCATCTGCTGCCCTACAGCTACCACCTGCTCCTGGCACAAGGGAACCTGAGTGTAACGAGCAGGGCATGGGTGGGGAGCCCCAGCGGTGCCCACACCTACCTTTGATGACAAAGGCCTCTGCCAGCAGCCGCATCTGATACAGGGGCTTGTTCTCCATGGACATGTCATCGATCCCGGCCCTCGCATACATGCTGATGGCATCCCGGTAGGAGCCCTCCACGTAATGCAGCTTGCCCAGGATCAGCATGGCCTCACACATGTACCTTGACTGAAAGGACAAGGACCGCATTAGCAGGCTCCTGGCCCAAAGTCCCTGCCTCACCCACCCCAGCAGGTAGGATGAGCACCCTTTCACTGGAGCCATGACGATCTGCCTAAGACCCTGCTCGGAAGCCTCCTGCAGGAAGCCTTCCCTGACCTTCGAGCACATGCCCAGGGTTCCCTTCTCTCCTCACCTGCAGTCCATGACCTACTTATTGAAATTCTTGACATTGGTATTGAAATCCTCTTAGGAGCCCCTAACTGTTTCACGTGTGTGTTGTATGCACCCTGCTCCACTGCAGGCAGCCTGCAGACTGGGCCGCCTTCTCTCTCCTGCAGCCCCCAGAGGCTGCAGCAAAGGCTGGCACTCGGGAGTTCAGACACTTGTTCTCAATGCAAGTGAGGAGCCAGGGACCCAGCCCCGTTTTGTGGGGCCTGATATAATTTGGGGTGGGGGTGCATAAATATACAATTAGGTAGAAAGCCTTGGAGAGAACCATGCAGGTGACAGGCCTCAAGCTGAAGCCCCCGTACCACAGCAGGACCTCTGTGGGGAGGGGGGCGACATCAGCAGTGTGGGGCAGAAGGGAGGAGGAGAGTGAAGGCCTGACGGGCCACCGTCCCATCTTATCAGAAACAGGTAATAAAAGTGCCCAATCAAGTGTCTGAATTCAAACCCATTCTCTCTGCCTTATTTTTCCAAGTGCTGCTTATGCCCAAGTCTGCATCCCATACAAGGACTCTCAGGCCTCGAGGAGGTCTGGTTGGCCCAGCCCCAGAATTATGGCCTTCGACGTGGGCCGGCCTGGCTTCCAGATCTCCCACCTTTGGGGCTCCCTACTCTAGTCTGCTGTCTTCATTTCTATGCTCAGCAGGCCCACCACCCCTTTGGCCAGGCTGCAGGCACTGTCCCACCACACAGCATCCATTCTGTCCACAGAGCTCCCTGGAGAAGTAGCGCTGGTTCCCAACCCAGCCTGTCTCCGCAGGTAGGAGCTGCCCCTGACTCCCTGCGGGGCGATCAGACTCTAGGGCACAGTGACAGACTCTGGGGCACAGTGACAGACTCTGGGGCACAGTGACAGACCGCAAGGGAAGCTTCCACCACTCCGCACCATCTACTGCCCTCTCCGAAACCAACTAAGAGAATGGAGCATGCACAGCCAAATTCTCCTTCCTCATGGTCTTTTGGTTTTTGTAAATACACATTCTACCTTTGCCTTTGCTCACACAGGCTCCCTATCTGGAACAGTCTCCCCTTCCCTCAAGCTATCCAGCTCCTCCTCCATCCTTTGGGGTCTCGCTCAGGCCCACCTCCTCCTGGAAGCCTCCCTGACTACCAGGGAGCTCCCTCCTGCTGACTTCCTACAATGCCTCTACCAAATGGGCCCAGTCAGCTCCTGCAAGCCTGACCCGCTGACTACTGATTAACTCTCAAAGGCTGAATTTTTCAAGGGCATTTGCTGGTCTCCCCAGTAGGCCACCCCCTCCCTGGGCCAGGGCCATACATTACACACCCCCAGGGGCATGCAGCCCACGGTTCCTCCAAGGCAGGCAACATCTCTGCTATTCTCTGCACTGGTCTCAAGCCACAGGCATGTTTCCTCCTTGCTCGGCCTCGTTTTCCCATCGTGAGGGCCAGATCTTAACACCTACTCCTCACCTCCCATCACAGCTATGCCAAGAGCATTAATAGGGCAAAGTCCAGAAAAGAGCTTTGAACTTTTCTTTAGAAAGAAGCATGATAAATACAGGGCATGAGTAATTATTATTATTATTATTATCCTGTTCTGCTGTAAATGGGGAAAAGGGCAGCTATGCTCCAAAGGACAAGTTTCAGGGCATGATGATAGGGTGGCGCTAGGTGGTTCCTGGTGGACCAATGACAGTTTACAACAAAGCTTCCACTTAGCTGGGGACACATTAAGGACAATGTGGGAATGTTTCATAAAGCTGAATTTATACTATTTAAAAAGCTGCCCTTAATTCTGAAAGCATATTCGTCTTGCCTTTTGGTGTTATGATGGTAATAGAGAATGGTACAGTTTTGCTGTTATTTTTTTTAATGTCCATATTTGGCAGATTTGAAAGTTGGCCACACTGTGGGACCCCTGCATTTGAATTTGAAATGTTCTTGGCCTGTCAATCCAATAGTCAGGGAACCACAGAGCCCGGGCCCAGTGGAAGGAGGCTACGCAGGAAGTCGCTCAGTCTGGGGAACAGTCCCTCTGCTGTGGAGCAGGCCTGTCACCTAGTCTTTGTGCCTCATTGTCTCTGTCAACGGACAGGGAAGAACGACCGCATGTGAATACCAAGGTGAGAGGAGAGGAGAGATGAAGAAATGCTTCAGGGAGGCAAAATGGGACCTGTAAGAGCCAAAGTGTCACCATCATCACTAACATTAGTACAAGTCATCTGTCATCATCTTGTTTCCATTCCAGGACGTAGGGACACAGCACCGAGAAGTAGCAAAGAGCATGAGGACTTGAGAGGTGAAGACAAACAGGCCTGTGTGTAAGTCCTGGAGCTGCTGCTATGGTCCTTGGCTAAGTGACTAACCTCTCTTGGGTCTCAGTTTCTTCACCTGGAGAATGGGGATACTAGAAAATGCCATTGAGAGGGTTAGAAGAGGCCCCCAGGAGACGGTGCAATGCCTGGCGCTCAGTGGATCACAAGTTATGACAAATGGTTGTTTTCACCGACCTCCACAGAACTGAGCTGGGCAGGCCACCAAGAGTAGCTTGAGGAGATGCCCAGGACCCGCCTCTCCACTCTCCTCGTCCCATCAGTTACTATAAAGAATCCACCTGGGATTTCATCTGCTGCCAGGAAAAATCACCCCCTCCTCAGCCATACTCCAGCCTTTGGGGTAAGATAGGGAACCCCATAAACTACTTTTAATATTTTATTTTGCCTGATCCATGTTATTTTTTTTTTGGCTTTGGCCTGGATAACAGGGCATTTCTCAGTGTTATCAGTGACTCTGTATGTCTTTGATGAATAAAGCATGGTAAAATCTGCGATATAAAATAAACAAAACAGTTTTCCACAACAATACTTGAGTTTACTATTAGGCCAATACAAAGGAAAAGGCATTGGCATGGAGAAAGCTCCAAGTGAAAGTTCTCAGTGCAAAAGAGCAACTTGTCAAATATGTAGCCTGTGACTCTAATAAGAAAAGAAAGCTCTATATGTGTGCATGCGTGTTGGTTAACACACAGAGAAAGGAGTGTGGGACACACGCCCAATGATGACCAGTGCTCAACTACGGGGATGGGAATGGGGTAGGGTTTTGAGGGGTGGCAAACAAGGCCTTTTATTTATTATTCAAACCACTTGTTTATGTGGTGAATTTTTTACAATAAGCCTAAGTCATATTTATTTTAAAAACAATTTTTAAATAGTTAATGGCATCTACTGGAAAGAAAAAAATTAAAAGAGGTCTTAGTGGGAAGAGCTTGGGACTCACCAATCATGTCCAACCCTTTTGATTGGTAGATGGGGAACTGGAGGGCCCAAGAGGTCAGGGGACATGCTCAGGGTCAAGCAGCTATTTTAATCCAATACGAAATCTCCCAGAGCCTCAACCATCCCATCACAGCAATGAGTCTAAAGGCGGTAACCTTAAACTTCCAGAACACTCTCCCCGCACTGCTTACAGAAAAAGCCGCGTGCTTCTTGGTGTGGTGTTCCAGTCCCCATTCTCTGGACCCACTGTACTTTTATAACCTAATTACCCACCATTCCCTTTTACTCTTCCTAACTGACATATTTTAATGCAACTCTTACAAGAGGAACCCCTAGATTACACACTGCTTCCTTAGCTTGGAATGCTCTGTCGCTCTGTCCTATCTCTATATGCCCATCTCCCTCCCACTTCAAGGCCCAGCCCTCCCCAGGTCCAATCCTAGTATTACCATCTCCGAGTTGACACCTACCTCACCCCCAGGACTGTTCCCCTCAGACTTGCCTGTGCATGTACACATGCCTGTGGCTTGTGTCAGAGTCCACCCTGGACAGTGTGCTGATAGGGATTATCTTCGCAGTAGACCTACAACCTCCCGGAGGACAGGGTCCATGCTGAACTCATCTTTATTGCCCTCAAAGTACATAACACAATGCCTTGCACATAGTAGGTTGTAACCAAATGCTTAGGTTAATAAATATATTACTTTAGAATATTTCTAGAAACATTATATCTTCTTTGGGTCTCTAATGATATATCAATACCTCTACTGTAGCTCAGGGTACTCTGTAATCTAGAACAGTCTCAAATGTTAATGTGCAATAATCACCCAGAGAGCTTCTTAAATGCAGATTCTGATTCAGATTTTGCATTTATAACCAGCTTCCAGATCATGCCCAATCTATAGGTGGGCAGACCATGCTTTGAGTAGTAAAGGTCTAGAGAAAGCTGAGACTATACTTCCCTCGGTGTCTTGCATACAGTAGGTGCTCAATAAATGCACTTGGACTTAAACTGGCTTGCCCTGTTGAGCTCTTCCGTCGCTAGCCAGCTCTGTATGTTTGCCTGTTTCCAACTAGATCTCGGGCTCACTGTTTCCCTGAGACCCCCAAAGAGCACACAGGACCAGGCACATACTAAGTCAACCAAGCACTGTCCAATAGAAATATAATTTACGCCATATGTGTAATTTAAATTTTCTAATAAAATGTTCTAGACACATTAGAAAGGGTCAAATTAATTTTAACAATTTTATTCAACTCAATTCATTCTATCATCTGAACATGTAATCAATGTCAAGTATTAATGATCTTTTACATTCTTTGTTTTGTACTATGTCTTCAAACTCCAGTGTATGTTTTACGCTTATAGCACATCTTAATTTGGATTAGCCACATTTCAAGCGTATATGTGGCCAGTGGCTACTGTACTGAATAGCACAAGGCCAACCCTAAGGGACACATGCGGCTCAGGTGACGGAATAACTCAGGGAGGTTGAGAGCAGATAGGAGGCAGGAGAGGAAAGGTGGCCCCAGACTCGGAGGGCTGACAACTTACCGACAGCTTCCCATGGTTGAGGATACTACTCAGATAGTTTTTGGCTTCGTTCATCTTTGGCTCATTCTTCTCCAGCAAAGGGATGGAGTCTTTTATCTTGGCATTGTTCTCCTTCAAACACTGCTCCAGGAGGGACTCAGCCAGGAGCAATTTTCCAAAGTCATCTGAAAAACAGGGCAGTGATCCCTGAGCACGGCACATGTGGAGACTGGGACTTGTCCCTGTAGAGACCCAACCACCCGATCCCAGCACATAAATTTCCCAGGTCCGAGAAAATCAATGAAGGCACTGTTTCCATAAACTTAAACAGCCTTAAACACACACCACACACACACACACACACACACACACACCAGCAGGAATTCTACCATTGTACCAGCATAAATCGCTCCTTTGGGTTTATTTTCTTTAGTTTAGTGGTTGGGGAGGCAGTTCCCAGTATTTGGGACTAATTACCAGAACTTCAGAATTGAAAATGAGGCACAAAGTCACACCCATGACCCATTGTGGGTAATAAGTGTAGGGAGTGGCTATTGGGTCAAGCTTAATTGTGCCAGGAGGGCTCTGCCCTCCAAGCTGGGACTTGTATGTGGCTCTGCCACAGGTCAGTCCGGGGCTTGACCCTATAGCCGCTCCCTACAATAAGTTCTTAGACCAAGAAGGAATTTCCCCAAATGACCAGAGAAGAAAATGATATGAGACAGTTTAATAATGCATTTTCACGTGCTCCTAATTTCCATAAAACCACATTTGGTTTTCTCCATTTTGAAGGCATTTTATTTAACATGACCCAAGGAGAACCTAGCAACCAAGTGAAGAGTTGAGGTAGGAAGCAGATTTGCTTGTCAGCAAGGCAAAGCCTTGAACAGGTTTAGTACCGGCACTTTCTGGGGTTCTCTCACATATGCCAGCTTATCTGCAGACCTCACCGCCTGGCAGGTGAATTTATACTGCTTGGTTTAATTTGCTGCCTCCCCCACCACATTGAAAACGCCAATCTAGTGACCACCATATTCCTGCTACCTTCAGCAAAAGTGACTCGGGTGGGAGTAGAATTCGGGGCTTCAGTGTGCAGGGCCAGAGGTCAAGTGTGCTTTCATGATGGCTCCGGAGGTAATGCTTGATGTGACTGGCTCATTGTCCTTCCCCTTCAACTGGGTGAGGATCAGGCCTACTACTCACATAGGTGCCCAGGAAATATCTGCGGAATGAACTGGACCCTCACCACTACCCCAGGAGGCAGCCACAAGCCTCAGGGAGTTGCGTGCCACTCCAAAATGTCTCCAGAAATGTGTGCCTGGTCCCATCTCTTCACAGAGCTCTTTCTCCTGCCACCTACCCGGGGGTGCCACGAATTCCTCACTCTTAGGACCACCTCAGTTTAGTCACAACTCAAAGCCACTGGTTCCAGCCAGGCCAGTGGGGCTCACTGCTTGAGTGTCAACCCATGAACCAGGAGGTCTTAGTTCGATTCCTGGTCAGGGCACATGCCCGGGTTGCAGGCTTGATCCCCAGTGGGGGGCATGCAGGAGACAGCCGATCAATGATTCTCCTCATCATTGATGTTTCTCTCTCTCTCTCCCTTTCCCTTCCTTTCTCTGAAATCAATAAAAACATATTTTTTTAATAAAAAAGAATAACAAAACAAAGCCACTGGTTCCAAACTGCATGCCTCTGAAGATTCTCCATCCATAAGGGAGATTCCATGCAGAGAACATCCCAAAAGCCCAGTGTCCCGAGGACAGTCACAGTTCCCTCTAGGGACGCCATAGCCTTTTAGTGGATCCTTTGCTATACCTACCTCTTGATTTCTCAAATTAAGATTTGGAGGAAATGGCCAGACAAGTACCTGGTTGAAACTATCATCCATCACTAATAGAATAGAAGTTGGTAGGATCTCTATAAAGGGCAATTTAGCAACATATATCAAAATTATTTTTGTACATTGCCACTGACTCAGCAATTTTGCTTCTACAGATGTCCTTGCAAATGTGTAAAGTAACCTACATATAAGGTCATTCCTGTAGCATTATTTGTAATAGCAGGAAATTAGAGGAAACCTGTGTGTCCACCAACAGGAGGCTGATTAAAGCATGGTACATCCATAAAAAGGGACACCACGCTGCTATAAAAAGGAACGAGGAAGCTCAGTATGTGCTATTACGGAGGAATGAATTCCAAAATAAATAGATAAGAAAGCAGAATCCAGCCCTAGCCAGTTAGTTGTTCAGTGGTTAGAGCGTCATTTCCAAATCTTGGCCAGAAGGAGTGGTGGGATGCTTAGCAGCGGGTGCCTGAAAGGTGCACCTCTAGGCAAACTGCTCTCCCTCACCTGTTTTGCCTTTGTAAAACCAGGGGTGGGGTTAGGAACCTGTTCCTTGCAGGGACCAGCCTCTCCCCCGGCTCCGCCTCCTGGACGGGTCCCGCCCTCCTGGGAGTGCACAAGGGCTCTGCTCTACAACAGCCAGTTCCCCACCTGCGCAGCAGCAGAGCCATCCAGCCACCTGGCCCCACCTCTGCCACCCAACTGCCCAGCCCAGAGCTCTCCACGGTTCACTGGCTCGGTTCCTTTCAGGCCTGGAGAAACCAGCTTCCTTCCAGGCAACCCTCAATCTTGAAATACTCCCCAGGGCACGCACCGCTCCTCAAAATTCTGGGAGTGTCCTCTGAACACTTGTTGCTCAAAGTGTGGTCCCCGGACTAGAACCGGTAGGTAAGTGAGTGTTTGACCCAGTCCCTGGAGGTAAGTGCAGAAACTTAGAGTACACGTTCAACAAAGGTTGACAATAACGTGACAGAATGATTTTGAATCTGTTGAATCGAATAATAAAAAAATTGGAGGGTAAACGTTTGTGTATCTTATGAAAGTATCAGAGCACATCAGATTGGGAATTAAAAATCATAAAACTGGTCCTCACAGATCATTTGAGAAGCACTGCTCTAAACCACAAGAGCACTTTAAAAAAAAAATGTACATGTTCTATGGCCCCGGCTCCCCCTCCTTGGCCCTCGCATCACTATCGTCTGTGTGCATGGGCTCTGCATATATGTTCTTTAGCTAATCCCTTCACCTTTTAATGAATAAGGGAGACTAATATTTGTTGAGGCCCTACTGAGTGCCAGGTATTTTATTATAAAGTATCATTTAATCAGCACGGCCCTAAAAGGTAGATATTATTCCCATTTTATAAATGAAAATAAAAATAAGCAATAGTATTACGGCCACAGCCCATAACAATAAAATAGCACAGCCAAAGAATAATCTGTCTCCCTTGCATCCCATGCAGAGCAAAGCTTCAGATACTTTAGAAATAAAGAACAGTCTAAGGTTAAAAACTAATAGTGCCCTGGCCGGTGGCTCAGTTGGTTGGAGCATCATCCCATGCACCGAAAGGTTACCGGTTCCATTACTTGTCAGGCACGTACCCATGTGGTCAAGTCGATCCCCGATTGGGTGCGTGCTGGAGGCAAACTGATCAATGTTTCTCTCTCTCCCTCTCCCTTTCTCTCTCTCTCAAATCAATAAAATCATTAAAAAAGATAAAAGGATTAATACTAATTCCAAGGGCAGGGATAAGAATTACGAGTTTTAGACTATTTTATAAATTAACACTTCAGGTCCCTCTCCAGAGCCATTTTCCCTCCTCTTCACCCCCACTCATTCTGTTTTGTTTAGCAGACACTCAGTAGGTGTTGGGAATTTACTTTCTTTTCTTTCTTGCTCACTTCTCCCTGCACCAATCTTTCTCTTCCTCCCCCCCGCCCCCCCGCCCCCTTTCTTTCCATCCTATTATTCTCAACTGGCCAGTCTATAGAACTGAAGGATATTTTAAAATTAAAAGTTCTTGATTTTCAGTTGTTAGACGAGAATCCAGGTGCATAGAGGCTTCCCTGTCCTTCTCTGAAGGTAGAACAAATTGCTTTTTATCATCGTACTGTCCAAAATCTACTCCCTACACGGTTTGGGTAAAGGGGTGCAGCTTCTCCCCTGCTGGGGGCATCCCCTTCTTGACAGAATGAGACTCTGGGAGCCTGGGTGCTGATTCTGGCAGCCCAGCCCAGCCCCCTGCCCTTGACAGAGACTCAAATGAGGCCACCACCTAGTGGCCACCCTGTCTGCCCACCCACCTTGTTTTGAAGGACTCTGGCAGCTAGCTTCCTCTCTGCTCCCATCTTCTCCAGGCCTCTCCAGGGTGCCAGGTCACAGAGACCTACTTCAAGGACACCTGCCTCCTCCCCATACCCACATTTGCAGGACAGTGTTCCCCTCCCCACAACCTGCCAATTCTCTGTCTGGAAACCTGGGTTCAGCCAGCAAGCCTGGCGTCCAGACCAGGCCCCTCCTCACCAGGTCACATGGGGATGTGGCGGTCTCCACAGCTGCTCACCTCACAGGGCTGCAGAGGGTGGGGGCCTTCCAAGCGTTGACAGAGAAGGAAGAGGCTGAAACCAGTAAGAGGCCACCTGCCTCCAACACCCCTTCTCACTTCATCTGAAGAAACATTCTTTAACCACTTGGATAGGCTCTTTGTTTTCACGCGAACAAACCCCACCACAGAGAGCTGTACTCCGGGGTTCCCCTGCTCCATCCTGAATCTAAACCGGATGTGAGTTTGCAAGTAAGTGTGCAAAAAGGAGCAACCACCTTCCCCCTGGGTCGGTGGCGGGGAGCGGCCTCCCCAGACGGGAAAAGGGGGTAGGGGCCCTTCTGAGGGAGCTTCTCCTAGTCCTTCACTCCCACCAGACCAGCAAGAAGCCCCCTCAGCGGGGCCCTCCCCTCCTACTCCCTGCAGTGAAATCCATGCTTTGGGATTTCTAGCTTCTGAGGGAAACCCCACAGATGCGGCAGGGCCTCAGGGCCTCAGTCTGGAAAATGGGTTTCAACTGGGGTTTGGCTCCCCCTCAGTACCTTCTTCCCCTCTCCCAAGTTATATAACTGTTAAAGCTTCCAGTCACTGACTAGAAGAGTCCAACAGGCCAGGTGGGACTTTAAGGAACTCCCTCCTGAGTTGCGGGGGGTCAGTTCCAACAACACCAGCCCGCAGAAAACAGCCTCTCAGTCCCTCAAGTGATCAAGAACCCAATGGAACCCTAGACAATTTGGCTCAGTGGATAGAGTGTCAGCCCATGGACAGAAGGGTCTTGGGTTCGATTCTGGTCAAGGGTATGTACCTAGGTTGATGTTTCTCTCTCTCATTCTCCCTTCCACTCTCTATGAAAATCAATGGAGAAATCATCCTTGGGTGAGGATTAACAAAAAAAGAAAGAAAGAGAGAGAGAGAGAGAGAGAGAGAGAGAGAGAGAGAGAGAGAGAAAAGAAAGAAAAAGAAAGAAAGAAAGAGGGCTTTTATAGGGAAAAAAAAAAAAAAGAAGAACCCCCATGGAGAGAACCAAGATAGCAGACAATCCAAAAAAAAAGCTCCATGCATGGGCTTTGGGAGTCACTGTTTTCCTTGCTCATGTGCATGCGTGCATTTGGGGATAGTGTATCTGGATTTAACAGTGGGGAAAAAATCACTGACCCCAAAATTGACAGGAGAGACCTCCCACCATCCTTCAATCTCCCTCGTGCTGGTCAGTTCCCACAGTGAAGCCAGGCCAGGCTCCATATGCCCCACTCTGTTACTAGCAGACTTGGTTGCAGGGGCTCAGGCTTGGGGACAGGCTCTGCCACATACACATCATGTGACTTCTCTGAGTCTTGGTGTCCCTGTGTTTAAAATGGGGACAATAGCCCTGCTGGTGTGGCTCAGTGGTTGAGTGTCGACCTATGTTCGATTCCCGGTCAGGGCACATGCCTGGGTTTTGGACTTGATCCCTGGTAGGGGGCATGCAGGAGGCAGCTGATCAAAGATTCTCTCTTATTTATGTTTCTCTCTCTCTCTCCCTTCCTCTCTGAAATAAATTATTTAAAACAAAAATATAATGGGAACAATAATTCCTGTCCTCCCCACAGAAATTATAGAGCCCTAGCTGGTTTGGCTCACTGGATAGGGCATCAGCCCGTGAACTGAAGGGTCCCAGGTTCAATTCCAGTCAAGGGTACTTATCTCAGTTGCGGGCGCAATCCCTGGCCCTGGTCTGGGTGCGTGCGGGAGACAACCAATTGATGTGCCTCTCTTACATCGAAGTTTCTATCTCTCTCTGTCTCTCCCTCTCCCTTCCACTCTGTCTAAAAATTGATGGGGAAAAATATCCTCGAGTGAGGATTAACAAAAAAAAAAGGAAAAAATAAAGAAAGCACTTTATACCATACCATTTATAAACTGTCATACCAGTGTTTCCAAATAATGCTTCACAGAATATAGTAAGGGAAGTTTGAGAAATGCGGTATTTATACTCTAACGTTGGCTTTAACATCACATGCAGGTGAGCATATTAAAGGCCCTTATAAGTCCTGCAGTTTAAACGTCTGTTTAACGATATTTAATCCATTAGGTCTAATTTCTTAACTTGTGTGGCTCTCTAAACTCTTTCTTTCTGGGATACCAACAAATAAACATTCAATGTCTTGAGACCGCTAGAGAATAGCTTAGGAAACACAGCCCAGGATGGACCGAAGGAGGCCTGGTTCCTGTCTTGGTCCCAGTGTGTTTCTCCGCAGTGCCAACCTGACTCAGATTCCCATACCTCTGAGAAGACCCCAATGCCTTCTGTGTGGGTCACTTTCCATTTCCCACCCTCACCAGACTTACCCCAAACCAACCCATACAGGGGATAGAGGGGAACCTGTAATTTATCTATTCTGCCCTAAAAGCGGGGGCTCACCAGCTTCTCCCATATATGTACCAGCTCTGGCCACTGCCACACTTAGAACTACCTCAAAGGTTCAACCTGACTGGCCGTCCCTGCCACCTCGCCCCCCTCAGTGTCCTTCTATCCTTCCCCCTCATTGGACAGACACATTCTGCTCTTTCCACTGTCAGAGGTCAGTACACATTCTGCTGCTTCCTGAGCCCCACCATCTAATGCGCAATTGCCCTCTGGTCACCTCCCTGCCTCCCTGTCCATTTTGGCAACTCTTCAGGCTGGGATTTGGTGCTACACATCTTTGAGAGGTAAGACTACAAGCGATTACAAGGATGTGCTGAGAAATCTGGGTTTAAATCCTGATTCCACCACTTATCAACGGGATGATCAAGTTACCTAACTTCCCTGTGCCTCAGTATCCTTATCTGTAAGTGGGGCAAACAAGAGTACCTGTTTCTTGGGGTTGTTGGGAGGAAGTAATGAGTCCATTAAAGTGCTTAGGACAGTGTCTGGCACACAGTGAGTGCTGGGTAAGTGTTAGCTATTACTATTACTAATTTTCATTCCTTCTCCTCCACAGGGCCTTCCACAGGCAGTGTTTAAAACTCTTTATAACTGGGTGTATTTACTGCCTTCCACAGGGCTCTGAGCGCTCAAAGATAGGGCTCGGAGAGGGCTCTCCAGGCTGAGCTGAAGGCACCAGGGGCAGGATTTGAGGTTGGAGACGGGGGCGGGGTTTCCCCCACTGCCACATCAGGGTACTTTCCCACCCAGGAGCCCAGCCCAGCCAAACCAGCCCTGCTGCTCAAGCCACGAGCTGCCAGGGCTAGAAGGGTCCCGAGCCCGGCCACAAAGGGGGAAACTGAGGCTTACCGGGCCTCTTTCACACTTCACCACCCCACCCCCGTGATCATCAACCCCTCCAAGTAGGTCTGTTGTGGACAGAGCTCCCGCTGTCAACTTGACTTGGGGGAAGGCATGGGGAGACACACAGTGTTCACCTGATGGGAGCTCAAAGGTGGTGCAAGAGTCCAGCCCAAGCCCTAATCTGACACGTGCCCATACCACCATTTCACAATAGATGGAGTTACCCACATGATCCTAAGGGGCAGAGAGCAAAAGACGATTCCCCCTTTCCCCAAAGCACCCAACCTGCACAAGTTTTCTCCTGGGGCAGGAAAGCCGTTCTAACTGCCCGGGCACTCCTAAGACTAGCACGACAGGAAGAGTAATACCAAAGACGGCCGGCGAGGCTGGGGGCAGTCGGGGCGCACTTCCTGGAGGAGGAGGCGCGTTTCGCGCGCTCCAGCTAGTGAACCAGCCCCTTCCCTCACTCACCGGTGTCCGGAGGGGTGAATAAGGCGCTCGAGATGGCTCTCCGGCTGCCTCCACCACTGGGCAGGACCAGCGCCCTCATCTGCCGGACCAGCTGGGGCATGCGGTCCCAGAGGCCCTCGGCGCGGCAGCGCTCCAGCTCGCTCTCTACCTTCAGGTGGGAGCTGTGTGCGCCCTTCGCAGCCATCTTCGCGCGGGCGCTGTCATGGGAGGTGCGGCTAAGAAGTGGAGACCCGGCCGGG